GTTATAATATGAGCTTTTTGTGAGATGCAAATAAGGAAAACGAGGAACCTAGCCTAGTTCCCTTGAGATGCTGAAAACATTTATAAAACTACTAGAGGCATGGTGCACAAAATTTGTGAATGGGTAGGGTCCCTAGGCCCGGCTGGCGATCAGTTGGATTGGGGTTTTCTGGCTGCCAGCAGGGGCCTCCCTTCCCAGGCTGCTGGCTGCCAGCCAGGGCCTTCATTAATTCCGCACCACTCCCTAGTTGGACAGCACATGTCATAGTGAGCAATCAAACTCCTGGTCTCCTGGTCTAACTCCCAAGGGGACAATTTGCAGATTAGGCTTTTTAATATATAGATAGGATCAGAAAGGGAGTCAGGTATTAGAAGATACACCAAGAAGAGCTCTCTCAAAATGGAGAATAATGGGGCCAAGGCAGGAGGACACAAGAAGAAGAAAAGTGAAGCAAAAGAGAGATATTAGGCAAGAAGGAGAGTCTGTGCAAAAGCCCAGCACAACAGGGAAAATGTACCACAGAGAGAGGGATTGGTTGGAAAAGTATTAAGTCCATGCCTTCTTATGAGTCACTGCAGCCACCAGTACAGCAGAGAGTAATGCACCTGGGATAGCCCTGAAATATTTTGCTGTATGCACTGTAAGGCTGAGGTGAGAACAGGGTATGTCAGTTACCATGTTACCTGTTCACATGTTTAAAGAGCCCAGAGAGGGCTCTCTGGGTCCCCCAAGCTTCCCTCAGTTGGGCAAGCTCCCCTCTGTCTCCCATGCTCACCTCCATCTGGCAAACTCTCTTCTCCAGAGCTCTCTTCTTATGTGCTCTTGCTCTCCCATGCTCTGACTCTTTGTTGTGCTCTCCAGCTGGTTCTCAGACTCCCACCTCCCACCCCCTGTTCTCATGCTCCTACCCCTTAGCTCTCTTGCTCTCCACCTCTACTCCTAGCTCGTTGGCTGCTCTCCTATTGTTGGCATGCTCTGGACCAGTAATCTTATTGCTCTCTTGTACTTCTTGTATTAGGAAAAAGAGCTGTGCCAGGCAATGGTACTCGTTTTCATTTCATGGTCCTCAATACGTAAATAACATCACATTTGTATCTTAGAATGGGTAGGAATAAGTTTGAGATCCAAGCAAATGAGGCTAGACAACTAAAATTTTGAGTACTACCTCCTTTTTCAGTTCTACTTGCCATTTCTAATCTCATTTTTTAAAATCTTATTTTAATCATTTACATTTTTTAATTATTAATGTAAAGTCTTTTTCATGTAAACATCATTAAATTGTTTCTGGGACAACTAGGAGAAAACTATATTAATGAATAAACCAAGTAATATTATAAAGGGAAGAGAAAAGGTATAAGAAATGGCACGGAGACATTTTTGTATGGTATAAAAATTAAAATCACTGTATTGGCCCTAACCGGTTTGGCTCAGTGGATAGAGTGTCAGCCTGTGGACTGAAAGGTCTCAAGTTCAATTCCATTCAAGGGCATGTACCTTGGTTGCGGGCACATCCCCAGTAAGAGGTGTGCAGGAGGCAGCTGATCGATGTTTCTCTCTCATCAATGTTTCTAACTCTCTATCCCTCTCCCTTCCTCTCTGTAAAAAATCAATAAAATATATTTTAAAAATAAAAAAGAATAAAATCACTGTATTGGACACCTTCAACAATATATATTGTATGCTAACTATACTTAAATAAAAATTGATTTAAAAGTAACATTTTTCAAACAATGGAGATATAAAAGAGAGAAGTGTAATTTTAGATGGTGTGAGGATTGTTATATTTTGATGTTCATATCAGAATAAAATGCAGAAGGGGTAGGAAATTTGCTTGTTGAGTACCAGAGGTTCAGGGACACAGAATCTCAATAACTAATGTGTGACTGAGAAATTTCCAGAACAGTATATGGAGCAGCTAAAAGTATAGGAAACTGTCCTTGTTCAGCAAGAATATAGAATACAGGGTTGCAGAGAGCTAAAATGACAGAACATATAATTGTGGAGAATACTAATGACTGCTTTATGATCCAGTAATAATCTGTAAATATTTAAAAGAAAAAATGAGGCAACGAGTTTTTTAGATATTCTGCAAGGGCATAATAAAAAAAGGTGATAAAATGGAAAAAGAAAGAAAGCTCTTTTTTTGCAGGAATGAAATGCTGATTGAAATAAAAAATATCACATTATCTTATTCATTTATGGAATATAATGAACAACTTAAATGAATGAACAAAAACAGATCCAGAGACAGAGAAGCATCGATCAGATGCTCAAACCTCACAGGGAAGGTAGGGGAGGGTGGGGGTCAGGGGGAAAGATCAACCAAAGGACTTGTATGCAAGCATATAAGCAAAACCAATAGACACAGACACCAGGGGAGGGGGCAGTGAGGGCATGAGCGTGGGGCAGGGGAGGGGGCAACTGGGGGATAAGGACTCATATGTAATTCCTTAATCAGTACAGAAAAATTTATTTGGAAAAATACTGGTGTTCATTCATTACTTTTTAACTTCTGTGGTAAATACAAACACATTTTTAAAAAGAGGTACAAATATTATGAGAATTACATTGCAAAGTAATATGTACATGTCATCTATAACAGAAAATCTACAGAATCATCTTTGGTTAAACTTGGAGATTAATGAATCACTGAAAGAGGGCCATGGTTGGAAAAGACAAAGAAATAAAAATACTCACTGGATAAGAGTGACTATGACTCTTTTAAGGAAGAAAATATTGTGAAACTGTTCATGCCATAGGGGCAAAATCAGGAGGTATCAAAGAATATGAGACTGTATCAATATGAGCAAAATCATTCATGCTTTTGATTGGAGGACAATTTTTGAATGAGAACTTTAAGATTGAAGGACGTTGAGACCAGAAAATAAGTATGGTACAACTGGGAAGGTAACAATATTTACAGGAGAGAAGAATTAAGAAATCAAGAATCCCAATCCTGTCCACGTGGTATTTATTTTGTGAAAGATACATTTTATCTCAAGAAATTTTGTATTGAATAAGAGCCTATGAAGGAAAATTTGTTTAATTTTGCATTGTTTGCCTACAAATCAATTACATTTTAAAAATTACATTGTCAATCACTACTTGGAATTAATGGCAGCAATGAAAAATTACAATGTTTTAAGTAGCACAGTTGCTTTATATGAGCTTGAACAACAAGCACAGAAACACAAGCTTTTTCAATAGTTACAGTATTCTATGTTACTTGCTGCTGCCAATATTATTTGCATACAGTGCTTCATACACATACCTAATCCAATTATGTCAGGGAGAATTTTCTTTAGATATATATCCCCAGGTGGTGGTTGAGCTTGGAAAACAAACATATAAACCACATGGCAAGATGGCTAGCAAATATTGCCCGATATTTTTAAAATGGCAGTTAATAGTATTATTTTGATCACAGATGATACCACCCGCCTCCCTTAGAATTTTTTTGAGGACAGAACATGTCATAGAAGTAATTATCTCAAAGAACACTCAATGAACCAAAAAGTATCCTTAGCTAATAAAACTAAGTAAAATTTCCACATTAAAGTGCCTGTCATTTAATTCAGGTAAGCAGTTGCCTTCCCGACCTGGATGCAAGTCAAACTTCCGGAATTGCTGTCAAGGTGCAAGTCCTTCCATCTCTCCCAGGTGGTCTTCCATCCACACCAGCTGTTTACCTTCATTACACCCTGGACCAAAGCTAGCCCTCACAAGAGTTTGCCAAACTCCCTCAAGGTTACCCGAGCGAAATACCCTTTTGAGGGAGCAGGTTCTGGCTTTTCCAACTGAGGGTAAAGCCTGTTAGCACAGTGGCTTCTTGGCATCTCACCTCTAGGGAATGTCATCTCTATTTCTCAGCAACTGCTTGGAGATGATGAGCATAGAACACCTAGTTGGCACATTGTGTCCACCTGCCCTATGACAAGAACAAAGGGTATCATCCTATCCTGACCCAGGTGGAGAGTTCTCTCTGGTTTACCCACAGTGCCAAAGTAACCTGTAGCAGCAGTTGTCATTTAGAGACAAATGGTAGCGCCCCCTGCACCCCTTACCCCAATTCAAATGTTGAGGCCCTAACCCCAAGTTTAATGGTGTTTGGAGTTGAAATTTTGGTAGGTACTTAGGTTTAGTTGATGTCATGAGGATGGGGTGGCCAGGATGCCATTAGTGTTCTTCTAAGAAGCACAAGAGAGAAAAACAAAACAAAACAAAACAAACAAACAAAAAAACCTCTCTCTACCTGGCCAGGGCACTGAGAGAAGGAGACCATCTGCAAGCAAATAAGAGAGCTCTCACTGGAAACCGAATCCATTGGGACATTGTGTATTTCCCAGGCCACAGAACTGTGAAAATGTTGTTTAAGCCACCCAGGCTGTGATATTTTGTTAGAGCAGACTAACCCATACTTTCCCCCCCAATTCTCAAGCACAACATAGGAGGGCCTGGCCTCTGCTCACCATTTCCACAACCTCCATTTGCCCACCACATACCATAAATGAAAATTACAACCCACTAAGGACATACAGTTGCCAAAAATCCCAGTTTCTTGCTCAAGAACTTTCTGCCTAACTGCTCTCATGAGGAACACCCTCTTCCTCACCCATTCTTTTTACTTTACCTCTAGGTCCTACGGGGTGCTTCAATACCTTCCTCATATGAGTGCAACTTGCAGGTGATAAAATTATATGAGAAGAGGCTGCATTTCCTTTAGCATCCCCAGTCCCAACACTGAGACTCCCCAACAGCAGACTCAGTGTGTGGTGGATAAGAGAGCCAGCAAAAATAAGATATAATTTATTAAGCTTTAATTTCTCCTACTTCTTCAATAAACTTAAGACATCAGAGCATAACTTAGTTAATTAAAAGTGGAGATTAAAAGGAACAAGAAAAACTAAGAATAAGCATGCTTTTTGATCTCTATTCCATTATCCCAACAACTAGAATAGGGATCCTTTAATACTTCCAGGAATACTATCCCTATTGAGATGCTATATATTCTGGTCTGAAGGGCAAAAAGCTTTAGATTCCTCTACAGGTAGAAAGGTTGTGCTGGCCATGGCCCTGAAAGCTGCTGTGACTTGGGCAATAGTGGCAGCCCCAGCTGCCTCTCTGGCTCGGGCTCTCTCTTTCTCCTCTCTCAAAGCTTCTTCATAACAGCATGGGTAGTCACTGGGGTGGGTACTATTGGCCTTTGCACAAAACTCCAGCACTTCCATCTTGCTGGTTTCAAGGTGTGCTCTTGGACCCCACAGGAACTCAGAACATGGAGGATCACTGTGGGGCACCTGGCGGCACTCCAGGTACTTCAGCCTCACAAAATCGGTGAGGAGCTTCCTGGGCTCCCCAAAGATGAAGTGCTTCCTCCCAGCGTACACTCGCTTTAGACGCAGTTCTTTCCAGATCTTTTCCTCAGAGACGCAGTTGCCATTCATGAAGATCATACCCAGGATATGCATCAGGAAACCGGTTTTGGGGAGGCCCCTGCCAGGACGCACCCTCCCATTATTGGGGAGTTTTAGTTTGCTGACAAGGGCATAGGAGTAATTGCTTGAATCGACTTCATTGATGTATAATGCATAGGCAGTTTCTATTTGATCAGAGGCTTTCTTGAGCATCTCAGAAAATCGGTCTTCGTACTTTTCCCCAACAATACGCAGCAGGTCTTCCTTCATAATGAGTTGTTTCAGCTTGTACTTAGTCAGGAGGAACAGCTCCAAAGAGGCAGTCCTGGTTTTGAAATCATCCACCACTGAGACCCCAGTAAAGGGTGGGGTCGCAGAGGAGACAGCGTCATGCTCATTTTGGCCGCTGGAAGCTTCATAAGATCCAGGGCAAGAAATACCTACAAAAGAGGTTGTGGTGGTTGGTGAGCTTTGAGGACCCTGGGAAGTGTTAAATGACCCACCCACAAGAACCCTGGCTAATACCTTCATGCTGAGTAGAGAAGGAAGGAGGGGACTCCTCTTCTGCTGCAGTGGCCCAAGCATTGCCACAACTCTGAGGCTCATTTTGGGCACGGTGGTGTTTTTTGCTGCTGTGACCTACAGACATGATGTCACTATGGTCAGGGACAGCAGGCAGGAGTCTGGACAGGAAATCAGGAAATAGGGCACCTGGATAAAGGAGAAGAAGATCGTGTGAGTGCCTTCAGTCAGTGGTGAGATCGATTCTACCTTGGCTTTAGCTAAGGCTGCCTCTTCAGGTTTCCTAGACCGAATTGCTCTAGCAACCCACAGTGCTTCCGTTCTGATCAATCTGTTCCTTGAGAAACCTAGAGAGACCCTTGCAGGGAACCTTAGACTACATCCTGGCAGCCCTTCTGAGGGGGTACAGGGCTGACAGCAGAGGGATTTCCAGTGAGGAACCTGTGTTCTACGGTGTCGGATTCTTCTCAGTTAACTACCAGAATCATCATGTGAAATATTGGCAGGTCCTGGCCCCTCTCTATTCTGCTGCTGTGAAATTGACACCTCAAACCAAAGCTAGCAGCTCTCTGAGACCCAAAGGAAACAGTGAAAAGTTCCTTAGATCCTATGCCTGTTGGGGGACACCCAAGTGACAGTTATGTGGAGCCCTCTCCATCATGGGCTGCTTGGGTCCTTGAGTACTCATGCAGGGTATTTACCTGGTCTCCAGGAAGTGGCTGGTATACCGCCCTTCTGCTGACTGGTGGCTGCACCTTCACTGAAGACCTCTTTTCTGTTACATTGGATGGAAATAAGTGAAGGTGAGTCTCAGCCAGGCAGGCCTACCCTGAGCCTAATGCAAAGGTGGGGCTCAGGATTCTTATCTTATTCAACTAGAAGCCCTGTGCATGAATCTGTGCGTGGGTGGGGTCTGGCCAGCCTGCCCCCGGATCAGGCTGGGCTCCCTGGGGGGAGGGGCCACCGGAGGTTGGCTGGCTAGCCTCACTCCCTATCAGGGTGAGGGGTGGCAATTGGGGATGGGGCCCGCTGGCGACAGAGGCCCTGGCAGGCCACGGGAAGTTGGTGGGATGACCCAAACCCGATCTGGATGGGAGTGGCGATCAGACACAGGGCCAGCTGTGGGGGTGGAGGTGCCGGCTGTGGCAGGCCAGCCCCACCCCAGGTCGAACTCTGGTGGAACTCCCAGTGGAGGGGACGATTTCCATATTAGCCTTTTATTACATAGGATAGTGGGTGGGCCCTTCAATCTTTCACTTGAGGTTTGGTGCAGCGGCCTGGGACTACTCTCTCCTGCCAGCATTTCGGGACACTGCCCTTCCATGGGGATGAGGGTCACCCCACCTGCCCAGCTCCTCCAAGGCTGACAATCGGGGCTCTCCTACTGCGGTCCTGGGTGTGCCCTCAGATATCACTGCCTGGGACCCTGACCTCCCGGGAAGACCGGGACATCCTCCTCCTGGCGAGGGTAAGCCCCGCTCATAAATGAAAGCTGCCGAGCCCTGGGCGGGCGGCCCCAGCCCCACACCCCCAGCCCAGCGGGCAGGACTCCCAGGGAGCAAAGGAGAGTCCGCCATCATTTCCGGAATCCGCTGACATCCTGGTGCAGCAGGGGGGGTGGGGACTCCTTGGGTCCGTACAGAGGCTTGGCCCCTGCCCCCTGGGGGGCTTCCTAATTCCGGGCCCCCGCCCCTCAGGCCAAGACCCGCCCCCCAACTCTCAGTCCTGCCCCCAGAGGCGGCCTCGCTGAGGGGTGGGCCGGTCCCAGGGCCCTCCGACCTCTGAGCCCTGGTCCCCAAGGGGGCGCAGTGCCCGCCCTCAGAACAAGGCCCCCCAACTCTCAGTCCTGCCCCCAGAGGCGGCCTCGCTGAGGGTGGGCCGGCCCCAGGGCCCTCCGACCTCTGAGCCTGGTCCCAAGGGGGCGCAGT